AGGAAGGGAAATGAGAGTTGTCTCTAAATTTCTAGCTGGACAGTTGACTGCATGATGGTACGATCTGCTAACATATGGAACAAGACAAGAGAATCCGGTCTTACTGAGTTGGTTTATCACCTGGGCTTTGTAAAATGTGAGATGACTTTGTGACTCTCAAAAAAAGATATAATGGAAATTGGAAGAATCTGTCCTGAAAAACAACATATCCTAATTTTGTAAATAAACTAGTATAATTTAAAAATATTAAAAAATTTAAAAACAAACAACAAGAAACCCCAAACAAACAATAAAAAGATATCATGGCAAACATAGACCACCAAAAGAGCAAACAAGTATGTCTTGGAGATGGTGCAGTCAAATGTTCTTTGGAGGCAAAGATAAGATAATAATGCTTCATCTCACATACGATAGATAGTGTGAGGATAGAACAGGATTCAGATCTATTGTTTAGAGGGTCACTATGAATCATACTCAACTAGACAGAGCCTAACAAAAATAGCATGCCAGATATATTGTTCTGATGAGCAGAGGAGAGGTTTAAAATAAATGTACTAACATAAGGAAATAATATACAATGATAGGGAGGAAAGACCAAACTTTTACAAACTCCCTAGAGGGATGTGGAGGAAGAGCTAGCAAGGTTAAAAGAAGTTGGAGAGGCAAAAAGAAAATCAAGAAGGTGCAAGGTCATAGAAGCCAAAGTAGAAAATGCTTCAAAACTATCAGGGAACAGACGTGCTCAAGAATCAAATGATAGCTCTAAATTTTAACAGTGAGTTTCAAGGGAGACATTAAAATGGAGATGTCTAATAAACTGGTAAATCTATGAAAGTGAAAAAATGAAAGGAGTAATATGAGGTAAAATCAGAATTGAAACTTAGCAATCCATTTAGGAATGCTTACAGGTGTAAAAGCATCTACAGTTAAAAGAAAAACTGGGGGAGCCATGCATAGCACCAAGATATTAAGGATCACAAGTCAAAAGGGTCATCCAAATAAACTTAATACAGAATAGACAAAAGAGACTA